TCACTCACTCACTCACTCACTCACCCACCACCACCGCCACCATCGCCACGACCCCCACCTTCATCACCACTGCAACCTCTCTGGACCCCAATGCGTCTAGATCTCTAAACTTTTTGCTTATAGACCTCATACACACTGTTTGGGGTCTCTTGCCGGGATAGTTCTTTCACAAGAACACCTTTCGAACATGTTTCCATTTTCTTTAACAGCAGAAGCACGTTCTCAGGACTTGCCGCTGCTCGACTACTTGGGGACCGCCCGAAGTCTGCGTCGAAGTCGTCTTTTCGAATTTCCTTTAAGACACGTGCATTTTTGATTAGACGGTTGCTTTTTTAATTGTTTTGTTTTGAATTGAAATTCAGTTTCAATCAATGTCAACATTCTTTGTTTGTTTGTTTTGGTTTTTGCATCCGAATCATTTTTCTTGAAGTTTTGAAGTTGTTTCGCAACACCTGCGCTTTTTCGTTTGTTCGAGGTTGGTGAAACGCGACGACTTCCTAGTGGTCCTAGCGGATGAAAGCAAGATAGTGCAAGTCATTTGGGCAATCCGGTGTTGTTGGCAAATCGGAAGAGTAGAGAAGAGATTCGACTGTTTTCTTGTACGCAAGGGTATTTGGTTCGTAGGACTTCTTACTTTGTATTCTTATACTCTGTACCTTCGTTCTTTCGTTTCTTCTTCAGGACTTGGTCTTGGGACGAAGCCAAGTATCCCAAGAGCCGTTCCATTCCGGACATGCTGTCGTACGCGATGTGGGAGACTGTGAAGACGGAAACGGAACAAGAAAGAGACTGAAACGGAACCGTTTCGTTTGTCTTCGACAAAAGGGACAATCTTTACACGAACGAAATGAGACGACGCAGTGAAGACACACAAACTATACTTAAGCTGCTGGCTACTGGACGCAGGATGGTTCACGCTTCTTCAAGGAAGCTCCCCCCGACTGAGGGCACGCGGGAGCTTCATTGAAGAAGCGCTCGCACTAATGATTGGTTCCGAGTCTTGTAGGGTAACTTATCCAGGCCATTGCTACTAAGTTGGAGGCCATCGCTACTAGTTTGGAGACCATTTTAGGGAAAATCAACTGAGGAATCGCCGGGGTTTCCACAGAGATATGTCAGACGTGACCTCAAGCATGTCCACATATGTCCACACATCGTCTCTCCAAGTGTTTTTTCACATTCTCCAAGTCGATGGCGCGCGTCAAACAAGAAATAAATAGAAACACATCACTAAAATAGTTTAACCTAGTTTGCTTAAATCAATTTTACAAAGTCAGTTTAAAACATGCACGGGTACGAAAGAAAAATATGTTCAGACAACGTTTCAGTAAAACCGCTTTCCTAAAAGGGCATGAAGTGTAAGCTATGCCTGTGTCCAGGAGGTAGCTTATTTAAGCTACGCCTGCTACCTTCGCCTACCCCCTCCCCTCCACGGCGCAAGCGGTGCCGGACACGGTTTGGTTTAAAGATAAGCGATAAGCGTGTGTAAAATCCAAATCGCAAATTTCGCTCAAAATGCTTTGTAGACAGGCGGGGGCGCCGGAGCAGAAGAGCAAAGCAACATGCGTCGGCTGCGCGCTGCATGTTAACGCCATGGGTTCTGCGCTTGTCGAATATAGAAGAAGCTTATTGTGTCTAGCCGTTGAAAGAAAGTGTCGCTTTTTTCTTGTAAACAAAGGCAGCGTATTCACGCCGCATACCAGCAAGCCGTCACCAACCACAAGACCATGACCCTCGCCGCCGACGGTAGCAGCAGCCAGGGATGCGCCGCCTGGCGGTCACCGCGGCCCACGCACCGAAGCAGCCCCGATCTCGGGTGAAGACACCGCTCCAAAGATCCTCCTAGAGCCGCGCAAGCTCTCCTTGTGATCTTGCATCCAGTTTGTCCAGAGGCCCGACGATCCCGAGGATCGCACACAGACTCTCACTGGCGACCAGTGTATGGGACTGGCGCCGAACTCCGCGACCTAAACCGTCGCACCGACGCAGCGGCTCAAGCAGCTCTCCGCCCGCTCCAGCAGTTTTGGACCCACAAACAGGATCAAGGCCGACAGTGGTCTATACCCAAGTGCTGCTTTGGACCCAATATGTGGCCGAGCGTTGGGATGCCCATTTGCGGACCCGCGCGGTCCCTTCAGTCTAAACTGGAACCTTTGGACTTAGGTCGTTGTCAGCCTGCTCCAGACCAATCCCCTGAGTTCTTGTAAACAAAGAGCTTGTTGACGCCTGTTAGCTGTGTCACAATCCCCGCCGTGACCACTCAGAGTGGATCGTTTCACATCTTGGGCGACGAAGGAGCAAGAACGGAGCAAGAAGCGACGTGAGAGTGGATGTACCGAAAAGCGACCTACCTTACCACTGCGTTTCTCTCCGTTTCTCGTTCTCCACGAAACACACTCGCTCCGACGCAGGTTGCGCTGCTATGATTTCGTTTGGTGCGCGCTGCAACTTGTAACTCGCCCAACTCTGAACGCAGTTCGACTCACGCAAGGCAACGGCTACGACAGCTGCAAGGGCTCTTTTCTGTTGCTCTGTATAGGGCCGGTGATGGGGTCGCTTTTCGTGTGATGTCGACACGATTGCGGTCACATTCTTCGACGCAACATACATACGTACGTACGGCCACGTACGTACGCGTCGATGTCTTTACGCATCACGTCCACATCGCGTCATGACCCCATGGGCTCCATTGATCCTTTTCATCGTCCACATCCACGCATCTGCTAGAAACAACATTTTCTAGATTTTGTGTTAGTAATTCGCTTGAAACACAAAAGCTTGACATGTGGGGTTGAACTCGGTTGTGTTCTTTAATTGGAGTATTTCTTAACCCTTTTGAAAAAACTGTTGAATTAAATCAGAGGTCTGAGCCAGACTGAGTGAGCATGTCACCTGCCCACAGTTCCATCAGGTCCACGGTGAACCACATCGATGAGGAAGCGCGGAATAAGACCATGCAGTTTAACGACTTCAAAACTCAAATGAGTGAGGAACTCAGAGAAACGGGAAGAAAGGAGTTTTCAGAAAGGATTAAAGAAAATAATGGAAAACATTGAAGAGCTAAAAGAAAAGGAAGACAAGACAGAAGTCAAGACAGAAGATGAGAGTGACACGAGAGGATGAGAGTTCAGGCAACTTGGCCAAAAAGGACGCTGCTAATCTGGCAGGACGAGACGAGCATGGATAGCAAGCCGACGTCGCAAAGAAAGAAAGAGAAAGAAAGAAAGAAAGAGAACGAAAGAAAGAAAGAAAGGAACATCAGGTGGAAACGACCGTTGACAGGCATTCCTCTAAGACCAGACTAGATTATTTTCTAGAACAGCTTTTCTAGATCATATTCTAACTATTAGTCTATTCTAAATAGACTTGAATCTATACTGAAAGAAAGTTTTTTTAACACATATCCTTGAGGTAATCGTTTATTTCTAAAACATAACCGCAGGCAATACAAATTATACTCAAAAAACTTGTGGTGCGAAAACAAACTTGCATGTTAGTTATGGGCAATGTACTGTTACTTAGGCCATGTACATGTTCTGACAGCACAAGACAACGCAAGAGAAGGCTTGCAACACTTTTTCTCACACAACTTTGCTGAGTCTCCAGTCCCAAGCAATCCTCAACCTGGACACCATCTTCACACTAACTTGAGGGCCCTGCTTTTGTAAACCCTCGCCCCTAAAGCATCATGTCAGGCGAGGATTGACTTGAGCACAAGTCAGGCAACTGTGAAGTAGCGTGTGCATCTTGGGGACGCTTGCAAACAAAGCCACGCCTTCTTCTTTGAAGCGGCTGCCCAGTGGCAAGTGTAGCTGACATAGGGCAAAAGAGAACTCCTTGAACTGACTGGCCTGGGGCTCTGGAAATGCCAGCTCTGCTTGCATCTCGTTCATCAACTTTTCCATGGCTATGTTGACCTTGAGAAAAGTCTGGACCTTGCGGTGAACCTCCACCTCACTGTGCGTGAAGTGTTCCCGTAAACAAAGTAAAGTAAAGGTTCTCCAAGCACAGATATTTGCCCAGCCCTTCCCTTCAACTTTGGCCCACCCTTCTTGCGATCAATCAGGGTAAGTTTTCTCGTGGCTCTGTACCTTTCTGTGATGGGAAATCCTTTATAAGCAGCTGAGCTTTGCTACCAGCGCAAGTTGAGATTCTTTCTGGGGTCATCATGAGGTAGCGCATAGTGGCATAGCAAATGAAAGATGCCTCCCAAAGCCACAGCATCAACCCCCAGATTTTTTGCGGGCATGTAGTCCAAATGCACATTCATGGCTGTGATGCCATTGGAGAAGAGTGGGTTCTGGTGATTTTCCTCCCACTGCAGCCACCTCAAAACAACAGTCAGAGGTCGCAAGCCAAGCCATTTGGCAGATAGCCGCCTCTGCAGCGACAGAGGCCACTCTTAAGAGAAAAGTGAGGAAATCTCAGCTTCTCTACCACTTATTCATCAAGCTCCAGCAGCAGGTTGCTTTGTAGCCATTGGCCAAAGGGGTTTTAGCCAATACTCCCAATCTTGTATTCTTGCCATACCTTGTGAATGGTTTTCTGGCCATAGATTTCAAACAAATTGCCCATAGGTTGGATTTCACAACCCCAAACAACAATGACTACATCCAAGTCTCTGTTTGCCTTTGCGGTTGCTTTCTGGCCAATATCCTGATTGGAGTGCTTTGAAGCTCCAAGCAAGTATTGAAGCTCCAAGCAAGTATTCCAAAGAAAGAATCAGTTGTAGGCCCTGCATCAGTCTCATCGAAGCAAACCAGATTGGCAGTTGTGAACCCTTGGTCCAACCTGCCTCGCAAACCGTGTTGGACCAACTGTGTGAAGTCAACATCCTTGCCCGGATCTTTCCAATGCCAATTACAGGTGTGCCATCACCACGGCAAGAAATTGGCGCAGTCTTCCTGGGCTCAAAGGTTGGTGAAGAAGCTGGATGTTCAGGAGGGAAAGCAGGGTGTTCTAATTGCAGGATTGCAGGTTCCAGAATCTTCCTTCACTGGGCAAAATGAATCTTCTGAAGGCACCATTGTATTTGTGATACAAATCACTGAAGACATTGTGTAGCAGATGCGTGACTTGGAGTTGGTGATTCGATGGCTCCTTGAACTCCAGGCTTGTACTGAAGCCACAACCAAACATACGATGATATGAGCTCAAATTTCAAAACCTGGCCTCAACCCCAACTCTTCCAGTCCCAGTTCTGCCGCTTGGGTCTCCGTCTTGTCAGGATTCTTCCTGCCAGCCTTTTCCCTGCCAGCCTTCCTCTTCTTTTGGTTGCTGCCTCTCTTGCTGGCTTGAGGTGGCTCCTGTTGCCCTTTGCTCCTCCTCTTCCTGCTGCCTTGCGAGCTCGAGGTGTTTGTCCAGCCTGGTCCTTCTTTGCTGCTCCTTGTTTTTTTCTTCCTGCTTCTTGAGCTTGAAGAGGTGGTCTTCCCACTCTGTGGTTGGCACAACTTGGTAGCCCTGCGCTTTGAGGTCATGTCTTGACAGGCCATTGGTTGAGATTGATGGGCGCTACTAGTGTTACCTGAAGTGAGCAATGTGCTACTTTTTAGGAGCCAATGTTACTTAGGGTGCAACTGTTATTGAGAGAATGAAACCTAGAAGTGTTTAATGTTAGGGACCAATGGTACTTAGGCTGTCAATGTTACTTAGAGTGTGAAACTTTGAAGTGCTTAAATGCGACTTAGACAATGATACACCTAGAATGGTTCAAATGTTGCTTAGGAACCTGGGCTGCTAACTAGGTGATGTCACATTCCCTAGGGTTGGCCTTGCTACTTAAATCAAAATATGTGTCACCTAGCAAAGCTGACCCTGCTTGCAGCCAAAGGCACTCTTCTTGAGGAACACGTCAGGTCCCCATCCTCCAAGGTCAAGGTGAAACCATGGTACAGGCGGTCCAACCAGAACCACCTTCATGGGCAGCCCTTCTAGACATGTTCTTTGAGCCAAGACACCTTCTTCAGCAATTTTTTAACAGCATTGGCAATGCTGTTTCAGGACCGGCGAAACTGCTTCAGCTTTTGGTAGCGTTGGGACTTCTGGATCTTCTGTTTCTGGCAAGAAGGCAGGCGCAGGCGCAGAGCTTGCTGAAGGCAAAGGTTGTGTTTCTTGCAATTCAATCAGCTGTTCACCAAAACTTGGTGGCTGGGCAGCATGTTTTTGCCCTTCTCCTGATGCCTGAAGCAGGTGGCCTTTGCCTTTGGTGCCTGGGCTGTTTGTTTTGGTGTCACTTCTGCCTTTGGTGCCTGGGCTGCTTGTTTTGGTGTCACTTTTGCCTTTGGTGCCTGGCTGCTTGTTGTGGTGTTGTTTTTGCCAGTGTTGGTGTTTGTTGTACGCGCTCAGCTTTCACTGACACTCTCTCACCAAAAGTGAGGGCAACAGGTTGAGTGCCATGTCTCTCACTTGCTGGTTGGGGAAAGCAACAAGGCAGTGCTGTTTGGTTGCCTCCCTATGTGCACTCTTCATCACCACACCAATAGGATGCAACTTATTGGCGCGTGTCCCATGCTGTCACCCACCACGGCAGGCCACCTACCCAAACCCTTGGCATTGGTTGTGTGCGTGCTAAGTGGTTTTTGGGTTTGCGAATACAACTGTGGTTGTTGGAACATTGGTGAGAAGGTGTCGTCCAAACGACTTTTGACGCACCTTTTTATGTCGAGCTATGCGTCGGCGACTTGCGGAGCGCATGGCGAACGAAGCGGTACACCGCTATCTGCAACGCGGGATGGTTTCCTCGGCGGCGCAAGGAACACCACTGAACTGCTCAGCACGACGAATGGCCTTCAGGCCTGCGAAGCCCTGCATAAAACCTCGGACCCGAGCGGCAACATCGGGAGCCAAGTGCAATCGAACGCATCCAGTCCAGGCAATGTATGCTGGATTGGTGGGCTTGGCTTGTCTAGTGCGCCAATCCGGCCAGCGCAACCTGCAATCTGCTTGAAGCAGCCGAGACCACGCGTGACATTCAGCGAGAAAGTCGTACGGCGCCTGTGGGCCAGTGAAACACCATCTGCGCTGCGACTTGGAAAAACCTCTAGCTCCAGTGATGAGCTGAAAGGGCAGGAATGCCTCATGCCAGGTCATCCACACAACAGGAGCATCCGGTCTTGTCAAGTGATCCAAGTATTCCAGCAAAAGGTGGAATCCACGAAAGCGCATAGATGGAGGGGCGTGCCACCGTAAGTACTGACTGAGCTGCGGCGCATCAAGCAATCGCACGGTCGGCTCCTCATGACCTAGAAGAGGTTGCTTGGAGGGGCTTGCTTGCCGCTGACTGGCAACAGCCAACTCTCCCACCCGGAAAAAGTGGCCCTGCGGACGTACGGCCTGCCGGGCAGCATCGACTGCATTGGACACGTTGACTGGCAGTTGATCGAGCATACTTGCTGCCGCTGCATCAGCCATATGGCGTTACCTCGAATCACAAATTCCTCGGCTGCTGACCGCGGCCAATGTGACTGACCACTTTCAAGGCAACAGGTGGACAGGCCAGTTGCGGGACAACGGTCAGCACTGCTTGCCGCAAATCAGAGTCAGCCATCGTGGGCGAGATATCAAGATCACCCTGAAAGGCCCGACGCGCCTTGTTGTGGCGATGGCGAAGGGAATCCTCTTGCCCACACCATGGACACAGGGGCGTCACGCCGGCGACGAAGTATGATGAACGCCCCTCCCATCAACGCACGCAACAAGCCTCTTTGGGCCGGTGGATATGCTTTGACCGTTTGAACTGCCAAGGCTCACCAAACCTTATGCAAGCCATCGAAACCCTTGCGGCAGCTCCAACGAGAGCCAACTGTCATCGACCAGTCATGTTCGAGCCACAAGCGCGCCTCCTGACAAGCGCAGACAAGCAGGTCGCAAAGCAGCCCGGAGCGTGTCCTGCCAACCTATGTCCAAGAGTCGCTGTTGTAAGACACCACATGGACCCGGCACTCGATGCTCCGAAGAAGCTGAACCTGTCAGCGCTTCCAGAACTGAAGCTTGGACTTCACAGTGTTGGCCGCTCTAGTTATAACTTAGTTACTGAACTTGAAAAAGATATAAATAAGCTATACCGAAGTTAGTAAAATGTCGTATAGTCATGAGTTTGCATCTAATTTGTAAGTAAGTTATAAGTTCCGTAACTTCAAAATGCTAATTTTTCGATTCAATTTTGATC